TCCTTGGTACGTACGTAACAAAGACATCCACAACGACCTAAAAACTGACACTATCCCTGAATTCCTGACCAAAAAACACGCAAAATTCAAAGCCAAAGTCCTTAACCACCCAAACCCATTAGTCCAAAACACCTTTAAACTTCCTAGCAATGACTAGGGCCAGAAAACCATCATGCCCCCCCTTAACTAGGATTAGCTCCCCAAAACCCCCACACAAACCCCCCCTTCCCCCTAATCCCAACCAGAGGTGCCACGGGAAAAAATCCACTGGTCACTTCTACTAAGCACACATTTAAACTTAAACTCTTCTAAATTTAAAACTTAAAAGTCCCGAAAAGGGCAGTCAAAAAAGAGCAAAAGTTCCAACGAACTAGCTCAAGTAAAATATCCAAAACATCCTCCTACTGAAGCTTTCCCAGAAATTCCCGAAACCCACACCCCTAACCCACCAAGGCTCTTGCAGGCTTCCAGTAAAGACAAAAAGCCTTGAATGGCTACGTCTGTTTAAAGCATCAAGCCACCTACTGAAGCTTGGGCTGAGGGCTTGGTTTGCAAACTCAAAAACATACACAAACTACCCCTAACCTTCGTTTAATTTGTGGCAAACTTTCTCCACGAGAGAAAGTTTTTCATAACTCTGAACGAAACAAAATCCTCCATCCGATCCATAAAAGCAGGTGTCCCACAGGGCGTCCCGCTTTCCCCAACTGTTTACAACCTATACACAGCCGATGTTCCAAAAAAGCCCACATTCCAAAGTTGCTCTTTTCGCTAATGACACGAGCCTCTATTATAGTAATAAAAACTTCAACTACATAATCCCACCCTTACAACGACACTTAAACACTATCCAAGCCTGGGCCGACACCTGGAAAAAAGCCATGATAATAACTAGAAAAACAGTCAACACAAACACTCCAAAACTAACACTGAACATAATAATAGGCTCTAATGCCGGCGCTACACGATGCTATGAACACCTTCCAACGTTGGAGGCTGGACGGTTCATCGCATCGTGTGGCCGACTTTCGAACTTTGAGCT